AAATCTGCTCATACTAATTAACACTGGTGGCAAGATTATAAATACTTCACTTTATTGCTGCAAGTCTTGGGAATACCTCAAGTTTAGGCACAGGGTCTCCTGCTCTTGGCCCCTGCCAACAGCAGCTATGGAAGCCTGTCTGCTCCAGAGGCTGCACTCTCAACCCCCAGGGGAGCCTGGACCACAGACTGGAAGGCTTCACATTGGTGAAATGAACGACCCCTTCTTCAAGCCTCTCCCTTTAGATCTGTCTGGCCTTCTCAGGCATTTCCACACCAGTGTGGCCAGAGACAGGTCCCCGGTGGATTTTGGGATACATAGGTATGCCATCAACTATAGCAACCCTGACTAGCGAACTCAGAAAGAATCACAAGAATCCTGCCAAACAAAGGACAGTGGGTCCCTAAAGTCAATCAACATAGTGAGAAGTGGAATCAACATAGTGAGAAGTCTTTCACCTGGACAATGTCAGTCCCACTGGTCTCTGCCATCACCAGAAAGAGACACAGCCAGGTGGGATCAGGGGCAGGTGATGGGTACAGACATGGAGGACACCAGAGGGAGGACACACACAGGAAGCAGCAGGTAGCTGGATGCAGGGCCATCCCCATCAGGGCCAGCTGTACATCGGGATCCCTTCTCTGCTTGTGTTCACAGGGAGGGCTAACCAAGCAGCTCCCCTACACTCACTGCTCTCACTCAGTGTTCACCACGCACACTCACTCATGTCTCACTCAGTGCATTCTCACTGCCCACACTCCACACTGTTCACTCATTGCTCACTGACCATATCACTGTTCTCACTAAGTACACTGCTCACACATATGGCTCACACTGCGCACTCATTTTAGCATACAGCTCACAATCACTGAGCACACATTACACATCCTCTGCTCACTCTCACTGCTTATACACTTACTGAGCATACTGCTCACTCACCAAGCACACTCACTGCTCACACTCTGTTCACAACGTACATGCCTACTGCTCCCCACAGTGGCATGGGCAAGGCTTTAAACGCCCTTCTCCCTGAGGGCCTCTCTCTTCAGACACAGACATGAGGGAGCAGCCGTTGTTAATGACAGGCCAGGTCCACCACTCTAGTCCCTGAGAAGCTCATCACACAGGCCATCTGGGAGAATGGACCATACTTAGAGGCAAGTGAGGATGCTGTGACCAGGTCACTCTCTCCATGTCCACAGATGGGAGAACCTCCCACTGGACCCAATTGGTATCCCAAGCTCTCCTTCCAAGTCTCCTCCACCCAATCCAGTCACCTCAGCAGTATCCATGACTTTGTTTCCACTGCCCTGCAGCTCATACACACAGCTCATACACCTTTGGAGACCACCTCCTGCAGAAGTCCTACCAGTCCACAATCCCATGCTTGCCCTCTCTGGGTACCAAGTGTGAACCCAGGGATCCTCTGAGGCAGTCTGGCTGGCAAGGACCACAACATGGCCTCCTCACAGCATCCCCTTCCATGCACTGCACACAAGCCAGTGCACAATAAATGCCATGTTCAAGCATGGCCTGGATAGGTTATGAAACATTAAGAAAAAGGGGGGGAGATGGGATGGACACGGGAGGAGCTTGGTCTGCCATAGACAGCCAGCTGCTCCCTATCCCCAGCAGCCCACCCACAACCTGGGGAACAGGGAACAGCCTGTGGGCTAGGGGTCTTTGCACTCGGGAAGGGGTCTCCCTGCAGGCATACAGCTTTCCTGCCCTGATTGGGCTCTCCCCTTAGTCCCAGGGAGGGAGACCAAGGTGGTGGGGATCACTAGGCAGTGCCACTCCACAGCCTGGACACCCACAGCTACAGACAGGTTCAGCCATTCTGCTCACTCTGCATTATCATGTGACATCTGTCCATGCAAAGAGAACTTGGTACCTTAGAGTCTATGCTGGGGTGTGCGTGCACATGGTGTGTGTGCACTTGTGTGTGCACATTGTGTGTGTGGTATATGTATGTGTGGCATATATGTGTATGTAGTGCACACAAATAGTACATGTGCTATGGTGTGTGTATGAGCTGTGTGTGCACATGCATGGTGTGTGTATGTGCACATGTGTGTGTGTATGCTTTGTGCACAAAAGAAAGAGCCAAGCAATGGACATACAGAAGTAAGACAGCTGGCAGGCAGTGGGAATTGGCTGCTTGCTGCATCAGTGGCCAGTAGAAGCCAAGCACAGCAACACACACTCTGCAGACTGCAGGTCACTGGGCTTGGAGAGACCCTTGTCCCGGGAGGCAGGGAGCTGGACTGCGGGCCGAGCATGCGTCTAGGCTGTCCCGGAAGCGAGCCGTGACAGGCCCAAGCAGGAAGACAGCCTGGAGGACAGAGTGGAGCAGGGTTAGGGGCAGCACGGGCAATACTGGTGAAGTGTGAGAGACAGGCGAGGATGAACACACACGGACGTGGCACAGTGACAAACACGATGACAGCATGACAGCAGGCAGGAGAGGATGGCCCAGGCAAGGATGAACACCACCCCATTCTAGTGTTCTTCTCTGCTGCAGATGGGTCACCAGCCCCACAGCACCAGCCATAGCTGGTTCCTCCAACACCAGCAGGTCTTCCCACCCCCATGGGAAAGCAACTCTTCTTATTTAGGTCAACCCTGGGGCTTTCCACAGGGACCAACACTGTCTAGACTAGACTGACCACATGGCAAGGCTTGCCCTCTGTGCCTCCCTGCTCCAGCAGGCTGAGACAACACAGAGTATGACAAGCAGACTGAGAGACCGCAAGCCACAACAGGATAACACAGCCCTGAGGAGGGGCACCAGAGCCTGTGGACAGGTCCCTCCCTCCTCGAGAGCAACACTGCTGGCCTTCTGGCCTAGTCCATGTCCTCCATTGACGCCTGGGGTGGAACTCTGTCTAGGAGGGATTATATGATGAGCAAGTACTTCAGGTACTGCTCAGGCCCATCCCACAAGGAAAAACAAATAAGAGGAGTCCTTAGCTTGAAGATGCCGAGCACGTCAGGGTGGAGCATGGCAGAAACTCAGAGCAGGCTCTTGGGTTCCTCAAGCTGCTTCCCCCCCTGCACCAGGGCCAGCAGGCCCACTACCCTTCCCGTGTGCAGAGGCTGGGTGAGACGAAGCATAAGTGGGCAGGGTGGACTCTTAGAGGCTACAGGCACGCCCTCTCCCACCAGCATGGACAGGCCACAGGCCAGTCTAGTAAACTCTGCTGCTTTAGGGATGGCATGTTTCCTAGGAGGCAAGGTGGGTGATGACTCTTAAAAGTGTGTGTGGCTGGCAGAGTCAGAGTTTGCATGTGGTCAGTGTGGGCTGCCTGCATCAAGACTAACATTATGCGGCTAAGGTGGCCAAGGGCTTTTGGTTGCAATGCCACTGACAGGGATCACATAGGAAAGTGGCACAATGTTGAGACCCCACAAATTACCAAGAGTAAAAGTGGTGTAGGCACCAGCCCACTGGTAGTAGGGCCAGGTATTGGCATGGCTCCACACTCTGAGAGTCTTGCCTCCCTCTCCTCTGTGCCAGGAGGGCACCCACTTTGGAAAGCTACCACTGAGTCTCTGAGGGGAGAGAGTGTGGCCCCCGAGGGTCTAAACTAGAGTCTTTAGGGCCATGGAGGGAGGGGTGCTGGTGCTCCCAGGTTAGGCGTACATGGAGACAGGTGTGTGAGTGTGCATGTGTTTACGTGTGTGTGCCAGTTAGCAGTGGCAGCAGTGTGGGGCAGGGGAGTTGGGGGGTGGGAAGGACTGAACAGCCTTATTTCCTGGAACATCAGTTCCTGCTAAATCCTCACAGGCAAGAATTCCCAGAGCTCTGTTTCAATGTGCTCACATCTGAGAGATTATGAGTGGGTTGGTATTTCTTTTTTGTTATATTTTATTTTGTTTAGGAAATGTTGGTAGAACCAATCTTACTCAGGAGGGCAAGGGTGTCCAAAGCTAGAGACTGGGGCAATAGGATAGACACCTCTAGGGAGGGTGAGGACAACAGCATACAGGTAGATCCACCCTCTCACTCACACTATAGAGCAAAGTCACAGCTGATGGGGAGTTGAGATCCTCCTCTGGACCCAGGAAAGGCCTGGGTCTGAGTCAGTCAACTCCCTCCCCAGATGAGCCAAGTTGAGACATTGGCCACACCTTCCTTCAGCTTCCCTCTAAGCCTGTTTCAGCATGCCCAGGCCAGAGACATGCTCTCAGGGGCAGTGCTCTGGGTGGGGCCTCCACTGGAACCTGGAGGGATGGGGTGACTGTCAACTCCCACCAGGTCTGAGGCCCAGGGCGTGTCCCTCAGCTCCATGCCTGAGAAGGTACAGCTCTAAAGTCACCATGAGAGGGAGAGGGCGTTGGCAGAACCAGGTCCTCAGGACAATGGGTGATTGAAGTTCAGTGTCTCCATGCATAACTACCCTCCAGGGCTGCATTCCACTGGCCCCAAGTCCCCCAGGAAGCACTGCCCCCAAACTCCCATTGAAGAAGTGAGGGGAGATGAGGAGCAAGAGGTTGGCATGCAAATCTCCTGATGTTAGTAGGGGTGTAGGTGAGTGGTCGCCACCTGCCCCCCACATGGGCAGCCTTGCGTACAAGTTGGCCACAAAGGACTTATCTGAGTCTTGCCCGCCTGTGACTGTCAGAAGGACAGCACAGTTTCCAGACACGGCGTTCTGGTGCTGACAGCCCGGCACCAGTAGCTGCTTTGTAGAGCCTCTGGGGTACTTTACACAGACACCATGTCCCCATCTCATAGGTGGCAGGTGCCTGTGGAGAGAGGACCCAGCCCGAACCCCTTCCCATATCCAGGTGGCAGCTGGCAGGTGGCGACACTGCATGTCTTGGGAGCACAGAGTCACTGTGAGTCCATGAGGTGAATGAGCCACAGCATTGCCCGTGTAGCCCGGGACCCAGCACCCGCCCTCACTAAATCAAGTGCCTGACTCGCCCGAAGCCCCCCGCCCCCCGTGGCTGGCGAGCTGCCTGGGCTGGCGGTAGGAGAACAGGGACTGTACCGTCCAACGTTGCCTGCTGATGGGGTTTTTTACATTTGACGTAATCGTGGTCAATCGGAGTGGCTGTGTAAGGTGGGGATGTCAGACCTGGGCCAGAGGAGGAGGGGAGGGAGGCTCCGGGGCCCGGCAGTGGCCCAGCTGAAGAGTAGGAGTCCTCGTCCACCAGGCAGGCCTTCTCCCTGGGGAAAGAGGGGCAATAGGGGCAGTCAGAACCTCCCATCCTCCAGGCTCTGTCTGCCCTAGGACCTGCCTAAGCCCCACCCTGGGAGTGTGAAGTCCTCTATAGATTCGGGAGATTCCATGTGCACACACTCACTTTTCAGAAGCTTTGGGTGCGTTCTTCTCCTCGCCCCTGGCAAAGGGCCCTTCTGCAGCCTCCTTCATGAAGCTGAGCAGCACCTCAGCACTGACCCCAGACTCAGGCTTGCCCAGGAGCTTCAGGATGGAGGCATGAAGCCGAAAGTATACCTAAGAGATAACATGGGCCAGCAGAGGGAGCGAGGTCACGCACATTGCTTTGTCTCATCAGCTGGGTCAAAGGTGACTCTGAAGCTGAAAATGGAGGCCAAGCATCCACACAATGTGTGAGGATGACAAGTGAGCATAGCACTCTCTCAGCTCCACTCATAGCATCTCTTCCCACCACGCTATGCCTATATCTGTAGCCAAGATGGGGAACGTCCTGATTCCATTTCAGATCAGGCTGTGCAAAGCCAGCCTCTGAGGGCTGCCCCTTGAGCCTCCATACGTGAGTTTGGCGGTTTGAACCCAAGGTTATGGAGACTGATTTATGTAGAGCGGGCAGCCTCCTCGTGCAGGTAGTGGCCGGCCTGCCGGTAATGCAGCAGGTACACAGCGGGCGGCTGCTGTTGCTTCTCAGCCACCTTGCCCAGCATGTAGTGGATGAGCCACTCCTCCTCATCACCATCACCCTCACAGCGGGCAGCTGATGTGAAACAGTGCCGAGCAGTCTCCAGCATGGGCAGTCAAGGGAAGAACCCACTTCATTTTCACAAACCCTCACCACATGCCACAATTTACAAAGGGGCCAAGGCCCCACAGCCAGGAAAGGCCAGGGTCAGGGACTTCCAAGGCCCAGCCTGTCTCCTGCTCCTGAGAGATGCTACACCACTTAAAGATGCTATATCTGACAGCTCACAAGGCACCTCCCCACATACCACCATGGTGTGGGGCAGTGCACTCCCATGCACACTGTCCGGGGAGGGCAGCTGACCTTGTTTGGCTAGGCCAGCCTCACACAGAAGGGCTCTCAAGAGGAAGTGCAAAGGTACCAGCTAGGTGGCTCAGCAATCTCAGGAAAAGCAGCCAACTGGGGGGCTGTGCCCCTCTGCTCCAGTCCACCAGCAGGTTTCCTAGTGAAACCTGCCCAGCACTAACACACACACGCCCAGGCAAAGTTCATCTGAGGGGCAGGGCTTCTGAGAGATCACTGGGTGTCATAGCAGGTTGAGTCGAGAGGATTGCTATAGAGTTACAAGAACCTTTATGAAACAAACACATCCAAATGGGGAGCTACTGTTCTCCACATGCGCTCCACCTCAGTCTCTGCAGTGTTTCCATCTCTCTAACCCTCCCTGGAAGAATTTTGCACCCTGTGGTCTACATCACATCAAAACGGCAATTTGAGCATCTTCTGTCAGGTGCCGTTGAATCGGTTCTGACTCATAGCGACCCACTGCACAACAGAACGGAACACTGCCGGGTCCTGCGTCATCCTTACACTTGTGTTTGGGCATCTTGGAGGCACAAAAATTGTGTTCCTCTGAAATGTTCTTTGAGTTTGGGGAACAAAAATTAGTCTGAAGGGGTAAGATCAGGGCTGTAGGGTGGATGGGATCAAGTTTCCCAATGAAATTCTCATAGGACAACCCTTTCTACACTTAGAAGAATGAGCAGGTGAATAGAAAAAATTCCTCAGCAAAACTTTCCTGGCTACATTCTCAACAATGTCGTTTTACATTTTTGAAACCTTCTTCCTAAAAGCCCCCCATGATTTATTGTATCCTTCAAGAAAATCAGTCTGCATAACCTTGTGAAGCACCTCAAGGGTTCAAACCGCCAACCTTTTGGTTAGAAGCCCAGTGCTTAAACCAGTGCACTGACAGGACTCCTCCACTAGAATACTAGAGGCCAAAAGTAGATGGAAAAGGCATGGAGAAGCAGCAGAGCGCATGTGTTTTCCTGAGGGCTGGGGCATTCCTGCAGCACGAGGAGCTCCATGCAGTCCTAGAACAGTGTGAGCGACAAGACTTGGGGGAAAGGTCATCAGACTTCAGACTGCTCCCAGCAGCACCTCTTCCCCAAAGTGGAGGGCAGGTCTGTTCCCCTCATGGGAATCCTGAGTGAATGTGACAGGGAAGGAGTCGAGGCCTGGGGTTGGACGACATAGCATAGGAAACTGCGTTTCCACACTTTACCATGAGCTGTAAGCACATGGGATGAAAATAGCCAGAGCAAACGACTCTGCATCAATCACTTTAAAAAGGCCGATTAAAAAAAATGAGTGTTTTTGCTAGCTCAATGGACTGAGGAGCCCCAATGGCAGAGGAGGTTGAGTGTCAGGTTACTAACTACAAGGTTGGTGGCTGGAACCTACCAACAGCTCTGTTGGAGAAAGATGTAGCAGTCTATTTCCATAAAGATTCACAGAAAGCCTGGGGAGCGGCTCTACTCAGTACTACAAGATTGCAGTGAGTCCAAACCCACTGGACAACAGTGGGTTGGGTTGGTCAGAACTCACAGGATTAGGGACTATTCGCAGGCAGAGATGAACACACGGAGGGGAAGCAAGCACTCTGAGCTACAGCACAATCTTTCAGGGCATCAGGATACTCAGTGACCTGCCATGCCTGGTGTTATACTCCAAGCCTAGGAAACATACTCAAGGGGCCATGAGAAGACCCTACCTTGAGGGTGAGAGAGATGCTACCCACCCTGCTGAGCCCTGCCATGGTAAGTATCCTGTCACACTGTACGTCACTCAGCCTTAGCTGTCTCAAGCACACCTGCCCTCCTCCTGCCTGCTGCCAAGAGGTTTTAGGGCACCGAAGGGCACCTTGTGCCAAAGGAGAGCAACAGTTCTGAGTGAGAACACAGCAGAGCCTCCCGCTCCCCTGAGAGAGAAAAGGCTACTGTCACGTGACTCCAAATGAGAGATGAGACCCTGGCATCCCTCCCGCCTGGTCAGCGCTGTGTTACCTCCAGGGCCTCCATGGCCAGCTCAGGGGGGTTGTGGTAGTGAATCTTCTTGGGATAGCGGGCAGCCTCCTCGTGCAGGTAGTGGCCAGCCTGCCGGTAATGCAGCAGGTACATGGCGGGCGGCTGCTGTTGCTTCTCAGCCACCTTGCCCAGCATGTAGTGGATGAGCCACTCCTCCTCATCACCATCACCCTCACAGCGGGCAGCTGACGTGAAACAGTGCCGAGCAGTCTCCAGCATGCTGTCCCGCCGCTCCTCCATCTGCAACATGACGGACCAGGCTGCCTCAGGCACAAGAACTGCACTGTCCCTGACAAAACCTTTGATAGCTCTGCAGTGTGTCTCCCTGGCCAGTCCTGACTCAGAGCCACTGCCAGCAGCATACAAGTCAGAACACCACCCATCCCCAAAAGGAGATGCCATGCAAATGTTCCAGCCGGACTCAGGTTTAGACAGGCCCCTGACCTGGGACAGCATCACCTACACGTTCATCCGAGGCACCAAGAAGGCATTCTCCCCAGGATACAGCAGGGCCTTGTGGCTCTCATCCCGACTCCCATGAGGGGACCATGAGTGCCAGTGTTAAGTCCTGACCCTAGACCCCCATCCCAGGCCCACTGACTCAGAGTCTATGTTGGTAGCAAAGCCCTCGTCCCTCCCACACGCGGAAGGGCAGAAAAAAGCATGGCAGAGGGCCACCTGCTAGATGCGTTCCATTTTCTTCAGAGGACCCAGCCTGGTGTGTTGCTGTAAGATAAAGCACTGGAACACAAGGTCGGCTTGAATTTCAACGTTAGCAGTTCAAGCCCACTAGTTATTCCTCAGAAACCCTATTCAGGGTTGCTATGAGTCAGAACCAACTTGATGGCACTTAACAACAACAATATCCCTCTGGAGTACACTACCCCACACAGGATGTCAGCTGCCATCCACACGTGTTCCTTGGAGTCAAAACCCCAGGGCTTCGAGCTGAGGGAAGACAGCTCAAAGGGGGGTCACAGAACTTTAACTGTGAATACATGGTTTACTATGCCGGGAATGACAAATGAAGAGGAATGGTGTTGCATTCATTGTTAAAAAAGAACATATCCAGATCAATCATGAGGTACAATGCTGTCTGTGATAGGATAATATCCATGCGTCTACAGAGAAGCCCAGTAAATACCACTATTATTCAAATTTATGCACCAACCACTAAAGCCAGTGAAGCTGAAAAAGAAGAATTCTACCAACTTCTTCAATCTGAAATTGATCAAACATGCAATCAAAATATATTGATCATTACTGGGGATTGGAATGCATAAGTTGGGAGCAAAGAGGAAGAATCAGTAGTTGGAAAATATGGCCTTGGTGATAGAAATGATGCTGGAGAATGCATGATAGATTTCTGCAAAACCAATGATTTGTTCATTTCAAATACTTTCTTTAGATAGCATGAGAGACAACTATATACATGGACCTCACCAGATGGAATACATAGAAATCAAATTGACTATATCTGCAGAAAGAGACAAT